TTAATATTTTCTGTAGATACCAGTTTTCTATAAATATACAAAATTGATGTAATTATTTCATTGCGTGTAACACCTATCGACTATAAGTTTCAGCTGATTATTAAAATTGTCGATTAAAATCTCGAGGCCGATTACGACGAACCGCGGAATACGTCAAACAAACCTGTCATGCACTTCCTCGATGGTTGATTGCGCAACGGAACACGTCGGTCCTTCCTCTTTCCGTGATATCATCGACGTTTAAGCAGTCGATTATAAATCTGTCACGAATCGCTTTCTACCGTAGATTCGTTTGATCCACCGCGAGGGCTACGTCTCTTAAGGAGGTACACGCGTTCCTGTTTCAGGGAATCGACATGGAAAGTACTTAGATACTAGTTACCAGTTAGTCGAAACCACTTTCCCACCTGTCCAAGGTTACGAACAGATATTTTAACGACATATCTCGTTCCTGTTTCCCCTTTTACCCGACGATCTCTGGCTCTCATTAACCGAGAGACAACGTCGGAAGTCGGAGAAAGGTTTGTTACAGTTTCTCTGATCGATCAGGTGATTAGGTACTACCCGAGGATTTGCGTTTCGAGGTTAACGCGTGGCCTGGAAAAGCCTCGATAAAAAATTAAACGAACGTTTCTAACTAGGTTCAAATTATTAAGCGAAATAGTAATTCCACGTTACTGTCCATTAGCAAGATCGAGTTTCTTGCCACGATTTATGGATTATAGATATTATCGCGATACCAGCGACACTGTGTGCTCACTGATTTATTAACTCCGCTTGTTAATTATCAAAGTCGACGAATTTCCAAGAGTAATTTACTTATTTTATTACTCACGCATAAATAGTCGATCAAAACGCTGATTAAAATAAAATGGAATACAAACTATACTTCGGTCGAGACCAACTATGATTTAAGGAAGTTGCAATAAAATTTTTTTTAAAATAAAAGAATACTGAATAAAAAGGAGAAGCAATAAATAAAACATTTATTCAGTATTCTTTTATTTTAATAAAAGTACAACCTTTTTTTTTTAATAAAAACAAATTTACAAATGGAAAGGGAAAATGATTTTCATCGCTGAATATTAAAATTTTGTGAATGAGCTTTCCTCGGTCTACGGCACGAGGCTAGAATGGCGAGTCACAATTAAACACTGGCTGCAATACGGAAGCGATTCTTTCCGATATAAATTACCGGGTTTACGTGCCGCGATAATCAGCGGCCGCGAGTGTAGACTCGCGTTGCTTTTACAACCGACAAGCGCCGCTTCTCTCGCCCTGGACAGACTATCTAACGGTAAACTTATTTCTAATTCGCCGGTGGTCTTAAACATTCTACCCGTAACAGCTTCTCTTCGTCGGCAGCCCGAGATATCATATTTTTCACCCGCGTTTCACTCAGTACAACAGATACAAATGGCCCTCGTATACACAGTGATTTAATACAGAATTTCAT